AACTTAACTAGTATTGTATTTTATTAAATTGTATTTTGGAATTGTATTGTCACAGAGTTTATGCTTTCACCTCCTACCACTACTAACTTTCTTGCCGACCATACTTGTACTTTGTTTAAATTTTTGGAATTTTGTTTTATTTGTTATTTTACTTGAGTTATTTTATTTTATTCATGAATTTTCTTTCTTACTTCGTTTGCTAGCAACCCTTTCGATTTATTTTATTTTATTTCTTTTATTATTTTATTTGACTTTCTTATCGTTTTATCATTTTATTACTACTAATCTTCTTTAAAGATATTTTAATTTTATAGGAGATTTCCTAACTCATTATCATTTAGAAAATATTTAAAAATATAATTAATCTCATATCGAAAAGTCTTCACACGCTATTTCTGTTCTCCAAACCCTTGCACCAGATTTAACTTGCACTTAGTATTATCCTGTAACAACTAATCGTCGTAGATATTTTGCTGACTTTTAGGATTGGTATTCTCAAGCTTATAATGCTACCTCCTATAGTAAAATTATCTACTCTAGTTTTTATCAATTAGCTACTGCTGATAGGACCAAAGAAGCTCGTATAGCTATTCACAATATTATTTTTAGTTGCCAATATCAAGGAATAGTACCTGAACTTCAAGCAGCTGCTCAACTACTTTTGCGAAAATATACTTCTTTTCATAATCTTTGTAAAGCTTCTAGTAATTATAGCAACCATTATGATATTTTTATTGATAATCCTGCCACTGCTTAGTCCTATATTCAAGCATTATACTCAAGCGAAGAACAAAGGATACTAGAGGAAATTTCTACTCCTGTTTTACCTCTATCTTCTCCTAATACTATTATTAATATAGAGGAGCCTGTTGTTGCCTCTACTTCGACTTCTACTCCTATTATTCAACTAGAAAGACAAGAAGAATCTTTAACTCTATCTGATAATTTAGAAAGCAATTTAGAAAGAGCAACTTCATCATCTACTCCACCACCTCGATTTATTAATAGGATTTTTAAACCTTTAATGTCTATTAGCCCTTGTCAAACTAGATCTTCTTCTACTTCTGGAACCCAACAAGAAGATACTCAATCTGTTAACACTGAAGCCTCAATTTCTGAAAAAACTGCTATATCGCCAGTACATACTGTAGACGAAGAAATTACTACAACTACCTATTCATTTGAGCAGAACTATCAATCTCTTTATCTATTAATTAAAACCCCTAGCCCACCACCAGAACACCTTTATCTTGATCTCCCAAATATCTTTAGTTCAACTTCCACTTACTCTCCACTTTATCCTCAACTCCCTAAAATAACTACTACATATAATTATCTTTCCCAAAAGGATTTAGACTACTTTGAACAGCCAGAATCAACAAATTTATTTGAACAAAGTTCTTTATCTGTACCCAAACAAGCAGTCCCCAAGCAAATAATAAATTCAGATAGTTCAGAAGAAGAAGAAAATATGGATGACTTAGAACAAGCTACTCGAGCTATAACCCAATTAGCAGAAGCTATTGGAGGAGGAGGAGGAGCAGAAAAATCTCCCATCAAGATTAAATCATTTAGAGAAGATGGTACTGAGGATCTTATCAATTGGATCAATGAATTTGAATAGGCTGCTACTGCCAATAACTGGAGTGCTACTAGAAAACTTGCCATCGCTAAAGTCTACATACATAACAATGCGGAAGACTGGTTAAAAGGAACAGAAGAAGAAATTCAGCAATACGATACTGGTGATAATGATAATCAATTTAAAGTAAAATTCTTAGAACAATTCATGACTACCAAGAAGCGAGCTATGTGGTAACAGGAATTTTTTGACCTAAAACAAAAAGCAAATACTGTAAATACCTATGCTGCCCAGTTTAAGAAACTACAAAAGAAAGTAAATCCAAACCCAGAGTATGCTTTTCCTGATCCTTTCATTGTTCAGCTTTTCATTAAAGAATTGCGATCTGAATATACTATCCCTGTTCAAGCATCATTCCCAGGAGACTTAGACACTGCTATCACTACTGCCAAACAATAGAAAACTGGAAGATTAATAGCTTCAGCAAAAGACCTAGTAATAAATGCTATTAGTAACCTTACTAGCTACTTTGACAAATTAGCTATTAACATGGTCCAACAACAACCAGAACCTCAACCAAAACCTGCTTACATAGCTGAAAGAGAATCTGGGTTTTCTCGCCAAAACAACTTTAACCAGGATAGAGCTCTTTGTTATTATTGTAGAAATCCAAAACATTTTCTTGCTGACTGTAGAAAAAGATGTAATGATAATTAAAGAAACAGAAATAACAGGAGAAGAACTAACAATAATAATAACAGGAGAAATAATAATAATCGTTACAATAACAATAATAATCAAAGAAACAAAGATAGAAGTCAATCTTGTGATAGAAATTATAGAGATAGAAGTCAATCCAGAGACAGAAATTACAAAAACAGATCCAGAGATCAAAGTCAAGATAGATGAGGATCTAGGTCTAACCGCTCACTATTACCTTACTACCGAAATGTTAATATAGCTGAAAAGCAATCTGCCTTTAATTCTAACAATTGGGAAAGATTGTTAGACAACTATTCTATCAGAACTGCTTTAACCACCTATATTACTAAAGCCAATAGAGAAAATACCAGACCCCAACCCATTAGCACCATTACCCCTGTTAAATGCTATATTGATATTCAAGACCGCACCTACCTTGCTATTATTGATAGTAGAGACTCTATCAGTATGATCTTGTACCAAACTGTAAAAGAATTAGGCTTTAAAATTGAAGAACTATCAAAAAGTCTTATTGTTGCTACTACTGGCACTACCTCTAGACCTCTTGGAATTATTAGAAATTTGCCTATTAGGATTCAAGATCAACTTATCCCCTTGGATGTAGAAGTTGTACCTGCCACCTCTTATTCTATTTTGCTTGGAAATGATTGGTCAAAGAAAGTAGAAGCCAATTATAATTGGAAAACATGCCAATATACTCTCTATTGGAAAGAAAAGAAGATTGTTCTTGATATTTCTTATGAGTAAGAAAAGCCTAAAGAAAAGAAACCAACCTGTATTACTACAGAAAACTTTGAGTTATATGAGTAAGAATATCTAACACCCTATGAAGCTTATGCATTTTCTGCATTCTCAGAAAATAAAGATCAAGGATAGACTACCTACCAATCTTGATGAAGAAAACCACCTTGCAAAACCTGTGGTCAAGCTAACCACCAGTACAAGGATTGCCCCAGAAATCAATGTTATTATTGCAACAAATTTGGACATGTACTTATTAATTGTTCTAACAAACATGAAAGGTCAAATAGCTGTAGAACTTGTGGGCAAACTACTCACTTGTTCAAGGATTGTCCTGATAACCAATGCTACAGCTGTAATGAATTTGGCCACATCGAAATTAACTGCCCTCTTTCCCAACTCAAACTTGACAATTTGATTTATAAATGTGGTTGTGACAAAGACTAAATAGAAGAAAGAAGGATGACCTATCATAGCAGAAGAAGAACCTGTCATTGTTGTCTTGCCATACCCCTCAACAACCTAACAAACTATACAAATTAGAAGAAAAACTTGCTTGTACTGCTTGTTACAAAATATATTATGAAGCCCTTAACCCAGAAGACCCCAGAAGCCAGGAATATTACAATACAGAACTTGGTAGAGGAACCCTTGTCTGATGCAAACTTTGTAATATTCAAAAATCTAGATCAAAAATACATAATATAGAAAGCATACAAGATGAATTGTGGTTCTGTGAATTGGAATACATGTATATTTATAAAATCTTTACAGACCTTCAATATAATCCAAACTATGAGATTTGGAATAGAATCAGACATTATACTGAGTCTACCAGAAATGCTGGATATTAGTATGACTTGAACCAAGACCAAATCTATCGTCTAGTTAAAGTTTTACTTGATAAAAAATATAGAAGTATAGAAGAAACTATGGAAGAGCAAGAAGATGATAGGTATAATCGAGAATGGATCCCTGAAGAAATTACTATCCTATTTCGAGCAGAGCAAGTATTGCTTACAGAAGAAGAAGAAGCCACCTTATAACGGGTCTTAAACGAATCATTTAATACCTCCTAACCTG